AAATAAATCAAAAATCTAGGTCAAATGTTAAATCCCTTGCCATGTAAGCATGACATGGCAATATTTTGCCATCCAAGCAGCCAAGCAGGGTGTGTGCTCAACGGCAGTTAAGTCAAGCGAGCAATCCCAAACGGCAGTTAAGTTGGCGTAAGAAGAAGGGCTTAATTGCTTTGATCCCAGAGTTCAAGGGCTTAACTGCATCAATTAAAGTCTAGGGGCTTAATAGCGATTCTGGGGTTAGTTCAGGGGCTTAACTTATGGTTTTGCCTAAGTTTAATGCGGCCCATATAAACCTGGAGTACGTGGTCCACTGATACGTCGATTACGGTATTACGGTAGATTGCCAGAAACCACTGATACGGCATTACGGCATTACGGCATTACGGCAGATTGTCATTACCTTTCTGAGATGGCAGAAGGGCAGAAACAAAAATTGGCATTGTGTTAATTATTCTTCATTTATTAATTTTGACTTTCATTGAAAACGCGTTCCCCTTTTAATTATTTTTTGAAATTAGGCAACCGGATGTTGCATATATTTGACAAAAACAAAAGTAATAAAATAATTATTATAATAATACAATAATATAAATAAAAAAAATAAAAATTAAGATATTTTGATATTTAATCTTTTTATAAAATTATTTTTTATATGTTAATTTATTAAAAAATATTTAAATAATTTTGTATTAAATTTTAGCATTTTAATTATCAGTGCATCTTAATTTTTTACAATTTTATATAATACTATAGATACATTACCAAGACTATGTTTGCAAAAATATGAAAGGTTATTTAAAAATTAAGAAGCATATGAATTTTACATTGGAAAATTGCAAGACTATGTTACTCATGGGATTGCCTCAGGCAGGGTCAGTACCTCCAATCGGCACGTGAAATCAATTTTAAGAAGGTCAGTCACATTAATGCTTGAACTGAATATTGTGCTTGAAATGTTGGTATCTTACCATTGGACTATAATAATACATTTGGATTTGGAATTGTTTATGTTGGACTTTATTATAATACAAACTAGATTTTTATAATTCATTCTTATCCAGTTATTGCATCTTCTGGAGATTATATGAGTCCTAAATTATCCAAAAATAATGCAGATTTTGTTGAGAAAGAATCAATTTGGTTCTACATTGGAAACAATAATGCTTCAGCTGATTAAGAAATAAGGAGTAGTACATTTCTTTTCTTTTCTTTTTTTCTTTTTTCTTATTTCTTGAAAAACAATTTTCAAATTTTGTGTCTTAACTTTGAAAAGGTTTCTAAAGAATATCTCAACAATTAAAAGTTTTAGTTTTCATATTAGAATTTTCAATTTCAAATTTTAAAATAAATGAGGATGAATCTTAAAAAAAAAAAAAAGCTATCTTTTTTTTATACATTTGATTATAAATTATGTAAAAAGGATGGTTCTCTTATATTTTCAAATCTCTTCTCATCCGATTCACAATTTTAATTTAAGATATTTAATTTTAAATTTTAAATGTTTAATCGTTTATTCACTTTGTTAAAATTAAAAATTATCATTTATTATGTAACTAATTATTTAACATAAAAAAAAAAAAAAACCTTATTTTGGTAAATATGCCCTTGGAAATGGGTGGCAGAGCCAAATTGTGATCCCATAATAAAGTATGAAATGGATGGCTGCCAGATTCCAAGGTACCAGCGCCAGCTTTAGTGAGTTAGGTGAAATGTTGTAGGCAAAAGATACAGATCACCCCCTTAACTCAACCATTGGTGGCAAATCCCAACACCTTGGTCGCAAACCATGCTCTTGAAAGATGCGTCTTAGGCCAGTAATTGTTTGCTTCGGACGGAGCCCCTCATCCTCCTGTTGTACTTAAGGTGATAAATGCGGCGCCTGTGCATATCCCTAGCCAGAAATGGTTTTTAATTTTACCTGGTTGAATCCTGGGCATTTCTTCAACAGAGTGCCGATTGGAGGCACTGACCCTGCCTGAGGCAATCCGATAAGGCGTAACAGCTCTTGTTTGGAGTACCACCGCGGCACCGTCAAATTTTCCATTGACACCTGCTCTATAGTGAAGAAGTTGCTGAAAGGTTGAGGAGCATGAAGTGAGAACTTTGATCAGTTTTATAGGCACATAGAGACAGAGATTGTAATGGTACGGAATTGGAGTTAGCATATGCAGACAGACAAACTGGTCCCTTGTTTGGGACAAAAAGGTGCGTGATAAAGGATCAGAAAATTTGTCAAATGCAGAAAAATAGAGCAGGGTTCAGAAAAATTGTCATTTATAGTGATATCATTGTCATTTAATTATATCATTTGTCAATTGACCCTTTTTCATCACTTTTTTTTGAATAATTTGTCAAAGTGATAGGCTCAAAACCGTCAAAAAAAAAAAAAAAAAAAAAAGCACCTCAAACTCTTAGAATGTCAGTTGACCCAAAGTATCAGGTGTGACCCTTTTTCATCTCTTTGTAAAGTTATAGTCATTTAATTATATCATTCGTCGGTGGACTTTCTTATATCACTTTATAAAGTGATATAAATGACAATGATATCTAGTAAATATCTAGTAATACAACAAGTATCATAAGACTTGAGATGGCTCAGCGGCAACAAGTACTTTAGGTAAATGCAAGGACGTGGGCTTCGGAAGCTCCATCTGACGGTCGATGCTAAGGACATTAATTTTATCATTTTATAATTTTTTAAAAATAGTATAGTTTCACACCTGGCCCTTGCGACATAGTAGCAATAGCCACCCCGGTGCATTCTCCTCTCCCCCGGGCTGGGTTCGAAACCCGTCCCTTGCAAATATGTTCAAAAAAAAAAAAATAGTATAGTTTCAATGTTATTCACTATTGTAAGTTTATAATATAATATATTATTAGTTTTTTTTTTCATTTAAGAATCTATTCATGATATTATATATATATATTTATTTAATAGTAAGTTATATTTTATTTAATATCATGTAAGAATATAAATTTATAATTTTACATAATATTGTAATAACAATATTGTTTATAGTTTTTTATGTTGTTAATTATGCTATTTGAATATGTTTATTTATAAATTAATTTTAATTGTTAAATAATAAATATTAACTGTTTTATGATTTTATTAATTATTAATTATTTTTAACGCCTCCGGTGGCCATCTGAATTTTTATCTCCTTGTAGCATTTTTTTTTAATCCAAAAAAAAGAGAAGGGTATGTTTCCCCATTATTCACCGCAAGGCCGGTTCCATTCTTTCTGGACTCTAGGTACTGGAAGGCAAGGAGGGAAGCAGAAGTAGCAGCAGCACCAGACACTGCCGCCTCTTCAAAGCAAATTGATCACCCTAATCGAAACATGATTCGGGCATCGGATTTCGAATCCAGCAATTGAATTCACTTTTATATCTTACTAGCTTGGACTTTAATTATTTGTCTTTTTAATTTTCTTTTGCGACTTTTGTTGGTCAATCATCAATTCTGATCTTGATTGTTTGTCAACTATGATTATGATCATGTGATTAATTTAATTTTTTTTCTCTGGACTGAAGTTAAATATGTGATTAATTTAATTTAATTTAATTATAATCCTCTCCCAGGTTTATTATATATGACCAAAAGCTTCATATTTGATAATAATTAATGATATTGACTTCACATGTTGGATTCATTGCTAAGCACGGTATTCTTTTGTACGTTAGATTTGGGTGGAGTTATTGCCACACCTTATTTTGATAATGCCACATCTAAAATTATAAATTGACATAATTACCCATCATTTTAAAAATAATTTATTTTTCTTTCCAAAGCTACCCTTTTTTACTTCTTTTAACCCTAGCCGCTGCAGCCCTCATTCTACTTCATATTTTTCCCTTT